GGAAAAAATTTCCAATATTTTGGAGATGTTCATGAATGGAAGAATATTTTTTTCTAATATTATTTGAAACAAATCATATTTGAATGAAATGTATTGAGTCACACTGTCTACTCAGAGAGACAAATTTACAGTGCAAAACACCAAGTTCTCAAAGGAAGTTCATCAGTTACCAAGTTCATTAGTTGCCAAGAAGATATCATTCAGTTGCTGGAAAGTTGTATTTCTATTTTCATAGTGGAGCCTGAGCTCTCTGTGGGTGCATTTTTTGAAATAATTATCTCCTGGTTATAAGCTAAAAACAATCATGTGTATGGGAACCCTGGGTAAGTCATTCACAACTAAGTGTAATGGAGCAAACGCACATCCTCCTCATTCTACCCATTTTCTATTTTGATTTTCCTTACCACCTCCATTTCTCTTGACTGTGCCTTAGACATCAGGGTTTTCAAACTGATGTTACAGTAATTCCCAAAGGGGATCATTTTGCAGTACAAAGATACTGTAATTGTTTGTGCAGAATGCAGTTGTTTCTTGAGTTTGTCATGTATCATATTTTCCACTCCAGCTGAAAGCCTCCATGTTGCTGTAACATCGTCACAAGCAAATGACACAAACAGGTCATCAGAGGAGAGTCCTGGAGAACCAAGCTTGAGACTCTCACCTAGTACCAATGAAATAGTTGACTCGTCTACTGATTGTAAGTAAAACCTGCTGCTTTTACTTTCTCAGATAACAGTACCAATTATCTCAGGATGTTTCCCAATCTTCTGCATTCCAGAACAGTATAAGATCAATAAAGATTGGTGTTGTTGTAGTAGTAGTAGTAGCAGTAAGAATAAAAACCATATACAAAAGAGCAGATCCTCAGCTGGTTACATTGTCATAGCTTCATTGAAGTCAGTGGAGGATCTACCCTGATGTGTATCTTCCTCCAATCTACATTAGTATTCCATATGGCTGCATCTATGCTACATGCTTCTTGTGCAAGAAGCCTTTTGCGCAATAGTTTTTGCACAAAAACTTCTTGCGCAAGCGCACGTCCACACCTCAAAGCACATTGCAAAAGCCATGTGCTTTTGCACAAGAGAGCATCCACACTGCATGGACGCACTTGCGCAAGAAAGCTCTGATGACCATTCAAAGAATGGCCATCAGAGCACCTGTTGAGTGCTCTGGAGCGTCCACACTTGCCTTCTTGCACAATAGTTGTAGCGCTAAAAACAGTTATGCCTCAGAAAAGGAGGTTTAACCTATAGCGGAAAAAGCCCTCTGTTCTGCTGTTTAACTGCCCATTTAATTGTGCAAGAGCTCATTTGAGGTGTGGCTGTTCCTCAGGTTTTTGCGCAAAAATGTTGTAGTGTAGACATAGCCTATATGTAGTAAATACGCTATCTCGTCTTCACTATTCAACTCCAGAGCAAGCATATATTGCTTTTTAAATATTTTCTGCTGACTTTCATGAGAGGCTCTGTGAATCAATTGATGTGCAGAACTTGACAGTCCAATAATTTATGGCTATTACACAGTGTAGGTTTCTTAATTTGCATTGAAAATGTGAGTTGAAAATTCTGGTACTAAACTCTGCAAAACTACTGATACAGTGAAGTTTCAGTTATATTTATTTACTGCAGATATTTTTATGGGTGAGGCATTTCTTATTTATTTGAGATAGGAAAGAAAGAAAATGTCACCTTCCCTCTCTCATCTGTAATTTCAGTATACTGTAGGTTCATCATACTGTATGTATTGGCACACTTTTTCTGAAAAGAGAAACAATTTCATGTTTAGCATCTTTCTTCTCCCTCTCCCCCCCGGTCTCTCTCTCTCACACTTTGTTGGGGTATTCATCACTAGCTACAGAAATAAAAGGAGATGAAGAATCTTTTGACTTCAATCCCAGGATTTGTCATGCTGTGAATGAAGTGGCAGATTCTGTGCTGGAGGAAAAGGTACTGTAAATAACGTATCTTTCTGTGAGGTTGTATAGCACGCACCCTGATGATCTGGAGGTGCCTGCAGTGCAGATAGATAAGGAGGTAGATAAATTAACAATACTCTGGAATTGGACTGTATGTATGTTTACAGGACGGGACTGGGTGCATTTTATTAAGTCCAAATAAAGAAATGAAACGAAGGTCACTGGTTAATCCATAAATGTTTTTAGAAAAATCACTTTGGCAGACTTACAAGCCTGTGAGCTGGAGCAGCAGCCTCTCCGTACCATTTCTGCATTGTTCATGCTACTGGATCACTGGACTTGACCCACTACTATCACCATCCTTAACACCAGCTTATGTTGAGCTGATAGTGGGACCCCCTTCATTCTCTGGCACATGGCAGTGAAAGTCTCCCCTCTCCCCACTTTGGCACAAATAGGACTTGTGCTGTCTGTCCTTACCAGGGTGATTTCCCTGATAAAACAGGTTTGGTGTTCTTACACAGAGTAACTTTTGAATGTTAAGTAGATACAAAAGAGAACAATTTCACAATAAGAGAAACAACCACCATTTCAAAATCTTTAAACAACTCATGCAATGAATCCAAAACTGTCAGACTCAAACATCTCCTCTAGATGGAGCATGCATATGAAACACTACAGGCAGCAGCAGCAGCAAGATGCTTTTTCAGAAAATTAGAACAGGGGTCAAAATTGGGCAAAAAATAAGGACTTTCTATGGAGGAAGGAGCAATCTGAGAGCTTTACAGAGAAGCAGAAAATAGGAAAGAGAGAGAGATGGGAGAAAAGTACTAAAAATGGAAAGCAAAATTGTAAAAATGTTTGAAAAAGGAAAAAAGCCAGCAGAGGGGTAAAAGGGAGAGAAAGTGGACTAAGATGCACTAAATCCACTTCGGGTTCTGAGAAGAACTATCTCAGAGTTGGGGCTTTAAGCCAAAACAGCTGGGAAGGAAAGTGTCATGCTGGGAAGGAAAGTGTGCAATAAATCAGAGTCACCAAGAGATGGCAGTCTAACCACAGACAAGAGAAGAGACAAGGGATTTCAGGAATAGCTGATGTTCTCAAATAATTAGAAAAAGGTCATGGGCACCAAGGGTACGTCTAGACTACATGCCTCTGTCGCCAAAGGCATGTAGATTAGGCTACCAGGCATAGGCATAGGCTACCAGGCATAGGCATTTAAATAATCGCCGCTTCATTTAAATTTACATGGCTGCCGCGCTGAGCCAACAAACAGCTGATCAGCTGTTTGTCGGCTCAGCGCGGTAGTC